TTGATTTATTTGCTTATGCAATTTCAACTTTTTTTTAGCCCCGAATATTTTTATTTGAGTCATGGAATAATAGGATTTACATATAAAAATTAATGAGTAGTTTATTTCATAACGCCGCAAGGCAAAATTAGCTTTTAAATGTGAAAGAAAAGTAACAGAAAAGAAATGTATAAACTTGAAATATTGAATAGACCGAATGTTTTTCTTTTCTAGATAGTTGATATACAGTCCCTATCTAGTGACTATTGGAGAATATCTATTTTTACATTTTAGGAATCCGTTTCAAAAAAGGAAAATATGGAGAAGTTTCATGTTTAAAGTCGATTATGAATTCCACTGGTCGATATCTAGTTCATGACATGTGACGTAATGACTTGACGTGGTGAATGTGGCTGGGGTTTAGCGTAAACAGGGTGTTTACAGTAGTGTGTGAAGGGGTGGTGTGGGTGTTGGGTGCAATGGCTGGGGTACAATCAGTGAAGCGTGGAAAACTCAATTCACTTTGATCTTGGACTTTGGCAGGTCATGCATCAAGCACAAATCATATACATATTGTGTTGGGGTGGTTTATCACTTTGTGTTGTATGTAGGCTAGTATAGGGAGTGCATTGAGCAGTATCATACTACCCTGCCTTTGATTTCCGCTAATTATGGTGGTTTGAAAACTTCTGGTGTTTAGAATGGTTGGGTTACCACACTGATATAAGCGGCCTCTGTTTTACACACAGAGTTAAATACGATGTAACAAGGTAAATTTCTTTCAAATAGTAAAATGTTTGAATCCACAAACTTCTTTGTAAAGTTACATTTTGTAAAGGTTTTGGAAAGTGTGTGTGGAGTGGGGGGTGGGGGTGGGGGATGGGGGCTCTAGAATTAATATTTTTAAAAAAAGTGATCTTTGTGAATGTAATACAACATTACGTAGGGGTGGGGGTCAGCACACTCGACCCAGATGGTTCCAATAAGTAAACCACTACATCTTGTTTGAATCTTGTTCGGATGCCAGACATCCCATTGTGCCCACGTTCTTCTAAAGAATACCTTTAGGTCGGTATTGATGGGCCGGGTGGTAGAGCGCATGCTTGCTAACCCGAAGGTCTTGCGTTCGGATCCCGAGTTCGAGTCGCTCATATGCCGAGGAAATGGAAACTGCTCAACGCAGGTTTGAAAGGGTTCCCGATGTTAATAAACGCCAATGGTGACACGATTTGAACTTTAATTCATCTGCCGTGGGCCAGCATTCGTGGGCTGGTTAGGTTTTGTATAGATATTTAGTAGATCTCAGGTTTTGTATAGATATTTAGTAGATCTCAGGTTTTGTATAGATATTTAGTAGATCTCAGGTTTTGTATAGATATTTAGTAGATCTCAGGTTTTGTATAGATATTTAGTAGATCTCAGGTTTTGTATAGATATTTAGTAGATCTCAGGTTTTGTATAGATATTTAGTAGATCTCAGGTTTTGTATAGATATTTAGTAGATCTCAGGTTTTGTATAGATATTTAGTAGATCTCAGGTTTTGTATAGATATTTAGTAGATCTCAGGTTTTGTATAGATATTTAGTAGATCTCAGGTTTTGTATAGATATTTAGTAGATCTCAGGTTTTGTATAGATATTTAGTAGATCTCAGGTTTTGTATAGATATTTAGTAGATCTCAGGTTTTGTATAGATATTTAGTAGATCTCACAAGTCCAACTGTAAACACACAGGTCAAAGTTCCCTTAAATTTTGTTTCTTCCAGACACTTTTCTCCGGGGGGGGGGGGGAGGGGGGGAGAGGGGGGGGGGGGGGGCTGCACTAGAAACTATCCCGGGATGGAAGGGTGGACAAAGTTCAGGCGGAGCCGACATTGATTGCAGTAGGTTATTTTGGCCCATACATTCTAGTACTTTCCAGGGGGGGGGGGGGGGTGGAGGCGCCAGGAATGCTGGTGGGGGGGGGGGGGGTTGATGTTCCACGAAAAGATACCTGATAAAAACTCTGATCATAAGTCTATCGTAGCAAAAGTTGATTTAAAACTTTGGCCACTTGGAAGTCTGTATGTATATCATTAAAGTCTAAAAGTATTAGTCTAAAGGTATTAGTGTTATACTGTTTATTGCGTATAAACAAAAGCAATAATAAAAACGAATGCACGCAGAAACATCACTGGCTAAATAGCGAACCATCTGTTGTTTCATCTGAGTATTTGCCTACATTACGTAGGCCGGGCCAAACTGCGAATACAACCAAGGACATGAAATTAAAAACAAAAAAAACGTGTGATATTTAAAATACTTATTCACGATAGCAGGGAAAATAACTCCTGTTAATTAACTAACCATATTATTATTTATAGGCGTAGGCGGATGATAGGGTTCGACACGAATCTATCGAGTACACGGTACAGCCTCAATGAGTTCACCCTCACCTGACTCAAACAGGCACCTCAGTCTTTAGGAAAACCAAGAGTGTCTGGATGTGTCCGAAATGATAGCTTTACTTGTTCTCCTTTTAATAGTCGATCCCCCTATCTTCTCAAACGTGACCCCCCCCCCCCCCAAATTGAAAGCACGCTTCAACCTATAGGCCTACTTTTGCAGTTTCTTGGGTAAGGTTAGGTGCATCATAGGCGGAGCGAGGGGGGAGGGGGGCATGGGTGCGGACCGCACCGGGTGGGTACCATTTAGGGGGGGTGACACCAAGGCAAAAATTAGCAAAATATATCGAGAAAAATGATAATTCCACTTAATTAAGTTATTAATTCGAGTGTTGAATAGTCTTTTAAGAGGTGCAAATCAAAAGTTTGAGAGGGGGTGGGGTGGTGCAAATCGAAAATTCAAAGTTTGTCCCCGGGAAGGGTCGCTACGCCTCTAGGGGGGTGACACCATTAAGTGCCGCACCGGGTGGACACCCACTCGCTACGCCAATGAGGTGCATTCATTGAATTATCGGTAGAATTAAAAAAAAAAAACACCACAAATTTGAGATAACTTCAAAATTCAGTTTAAAATAGTAAAACGCGATTAGACGCAGTGTGTTAAGCATCAAATTGGTGTAGGCTATACATGATGGCCCGAGAAACAGATACTCTCTACTTCGGTAAACGGAAAAAAAGTCACAGGAAAAAAAAAAAACACAGAAAAAAAAGTCACAGTTTTTGCTAGGAAAAAAAGTCACAGAAAAAAAAGTCACAGTGGAAAAATTTTATCGGAAAAAAAATCACAGAAATAAAGTCACAGAAAAAAAGTCACAAAAATCTTTTTAGAAATATTTTATTTATTTGTTAAGAATTGTAAAAGTTTGTATGTTTATAGCTGTGGGTTGTATTTTTTTATAGCATAAATTATTTATAGACGTTAAAAAGCCATCATGGTTTGTAACAATTGTAAGTAAAAATACTCTAAGATAATTTACACAACAATCTCAAGTTTTGTTACGTATTTAGTAAAATACGCGGTAGAAAAGTTAATTATAAAAGAAATTTAGGCAAATTTTGCCCGTAGAATATTCTCTGGTCGGCCTCTCCTCAGTAGGCATTGTCCGAACATATTTTGTGTTGTTGACGTTAAGCGTCAATTACAGCCTTTGAACCTTGTCGGCTTTCTGTTTTGATCCTAAGTTTTGTTATGTAATGAGCGTGATAAATATAGGCAGTAAAGGTGGTTGAACTAAGCATAACTATTGTTGCCATGAGTTGAGGGCAGAAAGTCAGGAGAACTTTACTATTTCACGGTAATTTAATATTGGTATTTAAAAAAAAAACAACACGATACCGTGGACTTGAGAGCATTCTATTAAATGCTACTAATCTTAAGTTTAACATAATTACAATCTACATACTTCATAATAAATATTTTTAGATGAATTATAAAAATTACTATGCGTATACAGCCTACACACATTACATTACATGTAATTAATCCTAAGTTAATTTGCATTCTCTAAATATTTAATACATAAAAGTATTAAACAAATATCATGCAAATATATATTTGTGACTTTTTTTCCTGTGATTTTTTTCCTGTGACTTTTTTCCTGTGACTTTTTTTCTGTGTTTTTTTTTTTCCTGTGACTTTATTCCTACAATCTCTACTTCTCGTGTCCCGTGGTTAGAATAAAATAAGGGTAAACCTACTTGATTTTAATTTTAGGTAAGCTGGTACTAAAAAAATTACTGACCCCTCCCTCTACAGAGATTTGAATGTGACATCCTTTCAGAGTTTCTTCCAGGCATCCCTTCGCCCTCCCCCCCCCCCCTTCCCCGAATAAAGTCTACCGCCCCCCCAAACGAGATGGATTTTACATAATAAACATACACTGTTACTAGTGTCCGCCCCCCCCGAAAAATGTTGACCCGCCCCCACCCCCCCCCGAAAATATCAAGTGCCCCCCCAGTGGCGTAGCGAGCTCGGGTGTTACCCGGTGCGGCACTTAATGGTGTCACCCCCCAGAGGCGTAGCGACCCTTCCCGGGGACAAACTTTGAATTTTCGATTGCACCCCCCCCTCAAACTTTCGATTTGCACCCCCCCCCCCCCCCTCAAATTTTCGATTTGCACCCCTCCCCACTCAAACTTTCGATTTTGCTATTTTTTGCCTTGGTGTCACCCCCCCTAAATGGTGTCACCCGGTGCGGTCCGCACCCCCGCCCCCCTCGCTACACCCCTGGTGCCCCCCCTCCTCCCCCCCCGGAGAAAAAAGTCTGGAAGTCACTGCGTCCTTTATGGACTGTCAGTGTCACTAACTTGGTAAAGAACTATAACTCAGTAATATATTGCGTCGAGGGAAACTGATTATCTCCCTTATTAAAAATACTATCTCGTTTTACATAAATATTTTACAATTTGATAAGTCAAATTTTTAGTATATATGCAACGACGTGCATAAAATCTATTATTTTATCACCAATTAGATTTGATTTAATTAACTTATTGAGAATTGATGTGGGCTTCGAAACTTAATTTACGTGTATTTTTCAGTGTAGTGTTAAAAACAAATCATATCCGGTTGCAAAAACGAAACACGAAACTATAATAGCTTCTTTAGTTAGCCGTAGTGTTTGTAATAAGATCTAGATCTCGACTCTAGATCTAATAATTTTCTTTGAATTTCAAATCAGGTAGGCTTACATAATAATAGAAGTGTCTTTTTGTTGTAGATCTAGAATCTAGATCTAACTGTTTTCACTTTTCTAGGCTAAAAACTTAAAGTAAAGTGCCATTCTCGGCAGTCAGAGTCAAAATATCAAAATAGCCAATTTTTAAAATTTTAATTTTTAAGTCTATTTACGAATTTAGATTGAGAGTTTAGTCAACTGCTAGGCACTATCTAGTTTTTGATTCATTTGGGGGCCTAATCAAAAGCAAAAAAGGGGGATAATTAGTATTAAATTATTTATTACATTAGTTACTATAGTTAACTATAGGCTTCTAGTTACTAGACGTCTAGTAAAAGTTACATAACTTACATTCAAATACATTGGAGTCCTTTATGAGGCTTATGGGCATGGAGTAGTATTTTGGATAGCTTCTGTATTGCCCTGAACTGTGTTGAAATGCAGTAAGCGCTGTGCATAGTCCCAGCAAAAGATAAAAAAACATTTTAAGATATTCATATTCACATTGTATTCAATTTAGGTGTACATGTTTTCATTTACTAGTTCTAGGTAGGTATTTTAGCAATGTTTAATTAGGATAATTTATAAAGGAATGATTTATGAATTGTGATTCCTCAGTTACTTACCATGTCAACTGGGCGAGGGAGAGCTCGTGGTCGTTCTAAAGGCATCAATGACCTAGAATACACTTCACCTGGAGGCTTGGCTTCCAGAAACTGGGCAGCTGATGTTGATGTAAGCACAATTATTTTATTAACTCTCCTACTTTTTTTATTGCTATGTAGGCCTATGTGTTTTTTTGTTACTATAGTAAATAACAAGGATTTACCCAGTAGAAATAGGGCTAGTTTTCTTTTATTGTCGACTGAATTTTCACTATATTACTGATTGTGATAAAATTCTATAAATGAAAATGTGGAAAGCACCCATTAACAAATATAATCATGATTTTAATGTTTTTTTAAAAAATCAAAACAGTATAACAATATTAGCCACATAACCTATTAACAAACCACCATATTCTTGATTAATAAATGTACTGTTTCACTCTGTTAGCTATGTTTCTTGTTCTGTTACATTTTTATATTAAAAAATGCTGAATTGGTTATAAATATAAGATAGTCTTGGCGATCTTAGCAGTGCACAATTTATTTAACAGATTACATTTAGTTCTAAATTGAATTTAGATTAGTTCATCTGAAATATTGAAACACATTGTTTACATGCTTAACTAAGTTTTATAGCCTATTTATGTTCTATCCCTTATTTGCTCTAGAATTCTAAGTAAAGTTTAATGACATTTTTTCAGGAGAAAGAGAGTGCAGACGGTGACGCTGGATCCAGTGATGGGGGGAGCCATGTCACTGCTGTTGTGAACGGAACTGCCGCTGTGCAAGCCACCCTCTCCCTCACTGATATGAAGTCCATCTTTGATGACCCTAGGACCTACAGCGACCAGAACGACGTCAAGAAAATCCTCACATGCGCCAAACATTTTGTGAGGACAGAAGAAGATGTCAAGACATTAGCCTCACTTATATATAATAAGTTGGTACTCCTTTCAGCCTAAATAGTGTTCTCTAACAAGAATGGTGTAGCTTTTTTTAAATTTTACATGGTTTAACTTTCACTATTGAATGAAGTTCAGTCTTTCTTTAAACAAAAAAAACAACAACCAGGAACTGCATTATTTTAATAGCTTCAACATAAGTAAGGCATCCTTCTTATCACACAAAGTTTTTATAAAAAACTGAGAAGGTGTTTTCCTATGTTGCTGTATCTGAAATATTTTGTTTAGATGTAATTTTATTACTGTGTTATGTTCCTTTAAAACATTTTTCTCTACTTATATACTTCTTAATGTTATTTAATTTGATTATTTCTTTAACTTATTTATTTGTTTTAGTAAAAATTTACTTATTTATTGGTATATTTTTTTTTCATAGAGTTTTAGATGATTCCAGCCTTGCGAAAAAAGGCTCTGAAATTTGTGATAGTTTGACTTGTGTTGAAGTAGGAGCTGTTAAATTTAGGAGTTGTTTGTTAGCACTAGTCCAGTCAGATTACAAAGGTAAGACAATTTTGTTAGACACTACATAATATCACATTTGTTACATCTCTTGTTGCTCATCTGATAACATGTATCTCATGTTTTTTTTTAAAATATTTTTTATTCTAGGATTACTTTTATTTCATTAAATTTGATTAAATTTAAGAATGTGCTAGATTCAGACATAAAAACCATGGTTTTAGCTTTTTTAGTTACTTTTCTTTACTTTTTAAAATGGTACGCATATAAAATATTTAACCGTCCACCTGCGTGTGCCATTGGATATGGTCCACATATTGTCACCTGAAAAATAGGTCCAGGGTTTGCTCTGGGTTGCTGGCTATGGTTCAACCCTGACTAGTCCTGACACATCCACCAAAAGCGGAGTCTAGTGGTATCTTGAGATACAAGTTTAATGCATTCCTTACCATTGCTCCTATGTCAAATTGTTCATATCTCAAAGAAATTTACTCCATTGCAATTAGAAATGCCAATAATCCATTTCAGTCCCCAAGATGCTACCAAGATGTTTTTAAACCTTTTTGAAAGTAACCTGTTTGTGTTACAATATGTCGTCACTTTTAATCATAGTATAAGTGCAGCTGTCTTTCTTGTTTTGTTTCAGCTCGTAAAGAGTTGATCCTTAAAGATCCTACCAGGTTTTGTTGTTTTCTTGCATTCCTGTGTGAAATTTTTGGCATCATGCGGACGGCGACAGATGAGGTAGAAACATACAGATTGTTTTTAGCATTTTTTTTAGTGTGTGCTAGTCATTCATTTCTTAGCATAATGTGTGTGCAAGTACTAGACAGTGGTTCTTAGCTTAATGGTATTGTATTAGACATTTTTCTGACAGTTTGAACGGTGGTTGAGGGAAGGGGGGGGGGGGGGGGGATAAATGGTTTGACAACCTTTTGGCTTTTCAAAAAATTAAATGTTAAAGTTATTTTAGAAGCTTTTTCCCATTTTGTAGATTCGTTTTTGTAAAACCTTTTAAAAATTGACCCAAAACTTAACCAAGCTAAAGTCATTTTGACGAGAAAAATAACTGGATTTTGGTGCTTGCTGAAGTCAGTTGATGTCACTTTTGGTGTGGGGGGGGGGGGGGGGTGTCTGATTTTTTAAATTATATTTGGAAGTAGAAAATACACCCTTTCTGGGTAAAATTATTTTTTGACACAAATTTAAATAATTTTGTAAAAGATCTACCCACTGGTTTATAATCTTCCAAAATCTAAACTGTAGTTACATTTACAAAATATAAACAGTCTATGGTTAACAAACAATATTTTACTTTATGTACATTTAAGCTATTGGATCGTTTGTGTCTCTCTAATACTTTTATGTTACAGTTTCACTGGTATGTTACTATGTAGCAGTTGTCATGTACTTGTATTTGAATAGTTGTATATTATGTTCTGCAGGTTTTCAAGCCTCTTGTGAAACCAATATTTGATTGCTTTAACCTCTTGTTGGGTCGAGATGACACGACTGAAGATGATTATGATCACAGGGGAGGGGGCGATGACACCATTGTCAATGACGATGCTTGTGAGATATTTTCTGAGAAGGTGAGAGGCTAGGCTTAAAGAAAGTAAAATGCTAAGGATAGAGAAACCAATTGGTAGGTATAGAGACAATACCTTTCGGCTAAAGAAATGAATAGGTTAAAGAGAGAATCGGATTTGTGTTTATCTGGTATATGATGCATTTCTGACCGTACTATGTCAATGCATGCTTGACTGAATATTTAAAGCTATACAGCTTAATTTATGTCAGCTGTTGCAAGTTTGATTTTACGGGACGTATTCCACATGTTTGCAACCACAAATTTAATTTCATAGGTCTTCGGTGTGTCGTTGACAAAGGGTCGCTTAATTTTACGATGTGATATTTCAGTCTCTGAATTACTGTTGTCCATGTATAACAAAACAAGAGTCAGAATTTCACATCAGGGTTTTAATTACCTACTAACTCCATTGGTTATAATACTAAACAACATAAAAGATAAACAATGCTGGTTTTAACAGTACTGGCATTAATACTTGATGGGAGACTTGTCATAGTTGAGCTTGGATTCAAACACTAACCTCATGTTACTGTCTTGTTGTACAGGCTTCTAGTACAAAATAACAAAATCTCCATGGAGAACAAGTGCTTTAGCACCAGGATAATTGTGATATTTTTTATGTGCAAGTGCGGTAGCAACAGATACTCATATAAAGGGGCAAAAGTAGGGTGACTAAATACTGTCAGTACTCTATCAACTACCACACTATCAAAACCTAAATACTGTAACTTCCACACTATCAAAACCTTAATACTGTAACTACTACACTATCAAAACCTAAATACTGTAACTACTACACTATCAAAATCTAAATACTGTAACTTCCACACTATGAAAACCTAAATACTGTAACTACTACACTATCAAAATCTAAATACTGTAACTTCCACACTATGAAAACCTAAATACTGTAACTACTACACTATCAAAATCTAAGTACTGTCAGTGGAGTCTGGGTCCTGGTGTATAAAGTTACCTTTAGAGTAGTAAGAAATGGGGAAAAAATCAAAACATTAGTCAGATGTGTAAGCCACACAATAATTCAATGTTTGGTAGATTAATATTGTAGTTCCCTTTATGTTTGTCATGATACAGCTCCAGTCTATTGGGAGGCTGTTGGAAGAGAATGCAGAGGAACAAATGCTGCAATTGATTGACAACATTAGGACATGTATCATAAATAGCAGGTAAGTCACTGCTCATTAGACCTCAGTCAAACAACATTTAGCAGGCAAGTCACTGCTGATTCAGTCAAACAACTTTTAGCATTCAAGTCACTGCTCATTAGACCTTAGTCAAACAACTTTTAGCAGACAAGTCACTGCTGACTAGTCAAACAACTTTTAGCAGGCAAGTAACTGCTGACTAGACCTTAGTCAAACAACTTTTAGCAGGCAAGTAACTGCTGACTCAGTCAAACAACTTTAGCAGGCAAGTCACTGCTGACTAGACCTTAGTCAAACAACTTTTAGCAGGCAAGTAACTGCTGACTAGACCTTAGTCAAACAACTTTTAGCAGGCAAGTAACTGCTGACTCAGTCAAACAACTTTTAGCAGGCAAGTCACTGCTGACTCAGTCAAACAACTTTTAGCAGGCAAGTCACTGCTGACTAGACCTTAGTCAAACAACTTTTAGCAGGTAAGTCACTGCTGACTCAGTCAAACAACTTTTAGCAGGCAAGTCACTGCTGACTCAGTCAAACAACTTTTAGCAGGCAAGTCACTGCTGACTTAGTCAAACAACTTTTAGCAGGTAAGTCACTGCTGACTAGACCTTAGTCAAACAACTTTTAGCAGATAAGTCACTGCTGACTAGACCTTAGTCAAACAACTTTTAGCAGGCAAGTCACTGCTGACTAGACCTTAGTCAAACAACTTTTAGCAGGCAAGTCACTGCTGACTAGACCTTAGTCAAACAACTTTTAGCAGGCAAGTCACTGCTGACTCAGTCAAACAACTTTTAGCAGGCAAGTCACTGCTCCTTAGACCTCAGTCAAACAACTTTTAGCAGACAAGTCCCTGTACATTTAAATACTGTTTTTAAATTTTGTTCAACGTTAGTTAATTAGCTGTGTCAAACTCTAGCTTGATCATGCTTTGCATGTCCCCCCTGAAGAGTCTAGCAGCAACATTGTTTTTTGCAGGAGTTCCCCCAGGGTTCGCTGCTCCCTGCTGGAGGCCGTGGAAGCTTATGCCAGAGGGTGGGAGAGTGCCAAGAATGAAACAACCAGATTTTATTGTGATATGGCTGTGGGCATCATCTCAGGGCTTGTCTTGTAGATCATTGGTGTACCTTTGTGTGGGACAAAGCCAGCTCTTTTTTTTTGTATATACAAATCTGAGAACCTTTGTCATGTGTCTGGGTATAGTTTGATGGTAAAGGTGAATGAAATCTTTCAACCTGGTCTCAAATTTTTAAAAGTTGACTATAATAAATGTGTGTTTGTCGTTAAGATTGACTTTGCCAACAGTTATAGGTTTCAAATTTTTAATAAGGATAATTTCATGAGAGAAATTTTAATTAATTATGTTGATGTACTTTTGTTTATATGCATTGTCAAATTGAAATGAAAGTAATCTATAGTGCGGAGTTACAAAGTAAGCTTTCCCTTAACTGGGCGTGACATAAAAAAAACTAAAACTATTCCCAACAAGCTGCAGCTAACCTGAAAATGAATACTTTTCTTGTTTTTTTTTCTTCTTTAAAACAACATTCATGTATATTAAGATCACTTGACCATGTTTAAATCAGGTCCTGGTGAATGAATTGAACTGTCAGGCCAGTTTGTAACATGACACCTGGCAAATCTTGTAAAATATTTTAATACAAATCACCCAACCGTTTTACCCCCAAATAAACAAATTTGGCAGGTAACTAATACTGTTGTATTGCTGTACATTAGCATTGATAAATCTTTCACTCTTTATAAAATAATTCATGCATGGTTGCCTAGGTAACTGCTGCAATTTTGGAAAAACAAATTTTTTGCAAACATTAAGCAATCAATAATACAAAGAAATAAACAATTATATTATCAATTATAATTTAATTAGTATTATTGCAGATGTCAATGAAATAGTATGACTCCTTTAAAATATAAAAGAACATTTTTTTCTATTTTTATAGAAATTATATCACATTATACCAATTACACAATTTTAATAAGTATAAGAAGCACATATTTTCACATAGATTTTTAACCTCCAGAAATGAATAATGAAAATGCACATCTTATGAGATTAGTAAGAGATGATGGCTAAAGATGAGATTATCCACGTTATGAGATGATCCATCATAATAATCATATGAGATTATCCACTTTATGAAATAAAAAAAATCCATTATACAAGATTATCCATTGTATGAGATGATACACAAACTCCTTGGGTCACCGTTGAGGAATCGGGGAGGGGGGGGGGGGTTGTACTCACCACTCAATGCCATTTTTAAATTAGTTTTTCTTCGTGTCATATTTCATCTGCTTAAATCTCAGCACCTGTACCAGCACTTAGTCCAAGTGTTTGGAGTTTTGTCTCTCACTTATAGATCAATTTCTTAATTCCATGTCAATTGTTCAAGCCTTTGTCTAGTAGTTGTAATGGTTCATGTTATTTTACATCCATTTTTTAAACCACTGGTATATTTGTGTTAATGTTTTCATTTAAGTCAGTTTTAAATATTTATTTTGAAAGTTTACTTTAAATCCTTTTTAAAAACTATTTTAGCTGCTTATTGTTTAAAGCTAGAGGAAATATTTTTTTAAAATGTACTGCTCAACAGATTTGTTGAAAAAAGAACATCTTTAAAAATTTGATAATTATGACTATTTAATTAACTAATATTATGTTATTGGGGCAATTATACAGTGTTCTATGTGAAATATTTATGGTGGTATGTTGTTTTTTTTTTGTTTTTTCATTACTTGGGGTGCACATATTAGTTTGTAAATATGTGATAGTCAAATATAAACTGCCATTAATTTTGGAGCTGTGCCTTGTAATGTTAATCCTAATGCCATGTCTGAATAGCTCTCAATGGTACACATTGCACTGTGAATTTGTTCATAAGCCATTCCTAGTTCTGTCCCTTGCTTAGTTGTTTGTGCCATCACTAGCATTGATATGAATACCACTAGATGTTTGATGAGGTCGGAGGTCATGGTGTATTGAGTATTGCATGTTTTGAAGAGGATGATTTTGTAAACATGCCAGGGGTTATGGTATAGAAGATTTCATTATTGTATTGATGGTGTGTTTGCTGTTTTGAAGAATATTGTTAGGTGAAACAAAGTGTTGTGGTGGTCAGTGTGTAGAACACCTGAGTACTGTGCTGTGTAGTTTGGACTGTGTACAAGGCTAAGGTGAAATGTGTTCTACATTGTAATAACTGGAGGTAGGGGAGAGCAATGAGTTAAACCTTCAACCAAGGGATGGAACTCTTGATTAGAACTTTGGTCTTTCCACAAGAAGGGCTGTTAGAACCACAGAGTGTGACTGAGAAGTTTAATGAAAATTTGTGTAGTGGGATAAAAAAAAACTGTCCTTGGGGTGATTAAAAATGTTGACTGGAAAAATGTATCTGACTTGATTTTGTTTTAAGTTTTCAACACCTGAAATAAAATTCTTATTGAATTGTGACTTAAAATTTGAGTTTTTTCTCTTTGTGTATTGAAATTGTTATTTGAGCACTTAAATATGGTGTTGTAGGATTTGAACATTCTTCTAACACTGTTGTAGGGTTTGAACATTCTTCTAACACTGTTGTAGGGTTTGAACATTCTTCTAACACTGTTGTAGGATTTGAACATTCTTCTAACACTTGTAGGATTTGAACATTCTGCTAACACTGTTGTAGGGTTTGAACATTCTTCTAACACTTGTAGGATTTGAACATTCTTCTAACACTTGTAGGATTTGAACATTCTTCTAACACTTGTAGGATTTGAACATTCTTCTAACACTTGTAGGATTTGAACATTCTTCTGACACTTGTAGGATTTGAACATTCTTCTGACACTGTTGTAGGATTTGAACATTCTTCTAACACTGTTGTAGGATTTGAACATTCTTCTAACACTTGTAGGATTTGAACATTCTTCTAACACTGTTGTAGGGTTTGAACATTCTTCCAACACTGTTGTAGGATTTGAACATTCTTCAAACACCGTTTTAGGATTTGAACATTCTTCTAACACTTGTAGGGTTTGAACATTCTTCAAACACCGTTTTAGGATTTGAACATTCTTCTGATAATGTTGTAGGATTTGAACATTCTTCTAACACTTGTAGGATTTGAACATTCATCCAACACTGTTGTAGGATTTGAACATTCTTCTGACACTGTTGTAGGATTTGAACATTCTTCTAACACTGTTGTAGGATTTAAACATTCTTCTAACACTGTTGTAGGGTTTGAACATTCTTCTAACACTGTATTAGGATTTGAACATTCTTCTAACACTGTTGTAGGGTTTGAACATTCTTCTAACACTGTTGTAGGGTTTGAACATTCTTCTAACACTGTATTAGGATTTGAACATTCTTCTAACACTGTTGTAGGGTTTGAACATTCTTCTAACACTTGTAGGATTTGAACATTCTTCTAACACTGTTGTAGGATTTGAACATTCTTCTAACACTGTGTAGGATTTGAACATTCTTCTGACACTGTTGTAGGATTTGAACATTCTTCTTACACTGTTGTAGGATTTGAACATTCTTCTAACACTGTTGTAGGGTTTGAACATTCTTCTAACACTTGTAGGATTTGAACATTCTTCTATCACTGTTGTAGGATTTGAACATTTCTAACACTGTTGTAGGATTTGAACATTCTTCTAACACTGTTGTAGGATTTGAACATTTCTAACACTGTTGTAGGATTTGAACATTCTTCTAACACTTGTAGGATTTGAACATTCTTCTAACACTTGTAGGATTTGAACATTCTTCTAACACTGTTGTAGGATTTGAACATTCTTCTAACACTTGTAGGATTTGAACATTCTTCTGACACTTGTAGGATTTGAACATTCTTCTAACACTGTTGTAGGATTTGAACATTCTTCTAACACTTGTAGGATTTGAACATTCTTCTAACACTTGTAGGATTTGAACATTCTTCTTACACTGTTGTAGGATTTGAACATTCTTCTGACACTGTTGTAGGGTTTGAACATTCTTCTAACACTTGTAGGATTTGAACATTCTTCTAACACTGTATTAGGATTTGAACATTCTTCTAACACTTGTAGGATTTGAACATTCTTCTAACACTGTTGTAGGATTTGAACATTCTTCTAACACTTGTAGGATTTGAACATTCTTCTGACACTTGTAGGATTTGAACATTCTTCTAACACTGTTGTAGGATTTGAACATTCTTCTAACACTTGTAGGATTTGAACATTCTTCTAACACTTGTAGGATTTGAACATTCTTCTAACACTGTTGTAGGATTTGAACATTCTTCTAACACTTGTAGGATTTGAACATTCTTCTAACACTTGTAGGATTTGAACATTCTTCTAACACTGTTGTAGGATTTGAACATTCTTCTGACACTGTTGTAGGATTTGAACATTCTTCTAACACTGTTGTAGGATTTGAACATTCTTCTAACACTTGTAGGGTTTGAACATTCTTCTAACACTGTTGTAGGGTTTGAACATTCTTCTAACACTTGTAGGATTTGAACATTCTTCTAACACTGTATTAGGATTTGAACACTCTTCTAACACTGTTGTAGGGTTTGAACATTCTTCTAACACTTGTAGGATTTGAACATTCTTCTAACACTGTTGTAGGATTTGAACATTCTTCTAACACCGTTGTAGGGTTTAGCTTAAACACTGTGTTGAAGGGTTTCAACATTTAAACACAACTGTAGTCAGATACAGTTCTTAGGCTTTGTTAGTGTGTTTGTTACTGTTCTTAGGTTTTGATGGGGTAGTGTAAGTAGTTAGGTTTTGATAATGTGGTAGTTACATTATTTAAACTTTTATAGAATAGTAGTTACATTATTTACACTTTGATAGAATAGGAGTTACATTACTTTGGTTTTGATAGTGTGGTAGTTACATTATGTACACTTTAATAGAATGGTAGTTACATTACTTTGGTTTTGATAATGCTGCAGTGAAAGTATTTAGGCTTTGATAGTGTAGTTGTAACAGTATTTAGGTTTTGACAGTATGTTAGCCAAAATACTAAGGTTTTGATTGTGTATTAGTGAAAGTGTCAAGGTTTTGTTAGTGTGGTAGTTACAGTATTCTGTCAGCTGTCAAAATTATTTCAACACTTCCTACTTAAACACACTTAAACACACTACACACTTTTAAAGTATAATTCATTTTAATTTCGTTTCTTTAAAATAGACTCCAACAAAAACAACGGAACAATGTTTATAAAAATATTTCCATATTTAAAGACAAAACCAATGTTTACGGGTGAGACTTGTTTGTCGGGATCAGAGAATGGTCTGGTGCAGTCGTTGGTGGTGCTTGTTGTGTTGGTGGTGGTGGTGGTGTGTACCTCACATGAATACAAATTGGCGTACTTCACTTCCTAGTAAAATCATACAGTTGACAGCGATGGCCATCTTTAAGCCCCATTTCAGCACTGTAATAGAACACAAGAGATAATACTAAATAGATCTAATTTAGATGTGTCTAACATTAGAATCTAAACAATATGTTTGTCATAGATCATTCAATACTAAACCAATTGCTACTTCCTAATCACTAGCTCTAGTTCATATAGGGTCTAGCTAAAATATGTCTTGATCTTTTTGGTAAAATGTGATTTTCCCAAGTCTAAATTTGGTGACAACTAAATTTACCATGTCTAAGTTTGGGACAACTAAATTTACCATGTCTAAGTTTGGGACAACTAAATTTACCATGTCTAAGTTTGGTAACAACTAAATTTACCATGTCTAAGTTTGGTAACAACTAAATTTACCATGTCTAAGTTTGGG